AACATGGTTGATGTTCAAAAAAGTCTTCCAATCGATGAAGTAATATCGGTGAGTCCCAATTGTGTTGTTCGAGGACGGTTTAAACGCAGCCACTGTGCCGTTCAGAGACCCCGAAAACACTCGTCGGAGGCCTTCGATTCGAGCAACCCCCGGTGCTAGAATAATTGGAGCTTTGGCTGCTCGTCTCATACAAATGACTTTCGAAGAAGAGGAACGCGGGAAGAGGGCCGTCGTTCCCTCCGATGATTTCGACCTAGTGCAATTAACCGCCGCCGCTGCTCCTCTTTCAATTACAGTCCGCGCGGAATTACCGTTATAATGCGAGCGGTGGTTGCCGGCGAAAAAACTTCGCCGAAAGTATTCCGAGAAACCGATACTCCGTCGGCGGAGATTTTCAACGGCAACTTCTGTCACTTTGCTAAGGCGTTCGTGTTCCACGGCCGCTCTTAAACATAATCCGCGATGGCCGTTCATCCTCGGCTTTTTCGCTCCTGCCGTCGAAAACAAGGGGATCGGAAAAAACGAGAGTCTTTACGCGCACCTCGCCCGTATTGCGGGCTGCGTTGATGGGTTCGCAGGACGGGTGCAGGTTTTTGGAGTCGTTGATTATGAACTAAGAGTCGAGGATACCGAGTTCAATATGGCGAACGGAATATTGAAAGTCGACGAGAATGATGGGTTGAGTCTTTTTGTAAATTGTAAGAAAGTCAACTTTGGATGTTGAAACAAGCACATATTGTTTATGTGCATTAATCGATGCACGTAGTTAGTTGTATGCGACGAAAAGTTATTAATTTAGGAAATAATTAATGGTTTGATTTCAGATTCTATTTGCAGAATGTGCAATTTTGCAATTCGATGTAACTTCGTTGACATGTTCCGTAACTCGGCGCATACCTTCTGTTCAGAAGGCTATTTCGCCTCATTAACCTACTTACAGTATGAATATTCACGTTCGTACGATTCCCATTTGTTTCTTTCGCGAGACGCTTGTCAGTTATAATTGATAACTGCTACTCGCAGCACTCGCAGAGGTTACATTATGGTTAATTAAATTATTATTATTAATTTTTATTGGCGATGCACGGGAATCAACAGTTTTGCAACGAGTCAAACTAGCATCTAGTATAACCAACTTTTTTCTAGTACGTAGTAGTTACTTTAACCTCTTTGAAGAGGTTAAACGATCAGTCTTCGAGCTACCATGAATATCGTACCGTGGGGAAAAATTGCGAATAAATATTCATAATCAAATTTCTCAATGATACAACACAGATCAATTTCAAATGGAATAATTCGTTCTTCGAGAAGTTAATAGGGTGCAAGATGGCTGCGATCTATTAGTTGAAGGTTGGTTAGTTTAAAAAAGTAAATGAGAACAGCTTCTAAACTAATTTTACTATCTGTCTGTCAAGGACATTCTTCTCTTCCTCGTGCTTTTATTTCTATTATTCGAAACTAAAGTGGACCTTTTCCCTTTTTCTAAACCCTCCTCTACCCTTCTTCAACCCCTATCACCTCGATAGCGGAAACATCCATCAAACTACGCCTTAAGGCAGAGGTTCCTAACCATGGAATCCACGGACGAACTTTTATAACAAACTATTAAATATTTATTTTCGTTAAAATATTAATTTCACCCGAAATAACGGTAGTCGCAACGCCCCCGATGTGTTAAAAATATAATATCCTTCAAACATGCAACCCCCATTTCTCATTAAAGAACATTTTCGTTCTTGTACTCGGCATTATCCTTTCGCTCGTCTTCAAGTTACATTTTAAATTTACGATCGAGACGGGTCAGGTTGTAAAACAGCATTGCTCGCCGAACCACTCCCTTTCACGCTGCACGGCGCGTTGCTTTTATTTTTATCCGGCGAATTAAGTCGTTAAATAAATAAAACAAAATTGAAGTAACCATGTGGTCCGAAGTATCGAGCGTTGCAAGCTGTTGTCTAAATTTCTTCGTTGTTCCCAACTTCTGATCTAGTCTAAAATTTTCTCCATTACTTTGGACCCATTTCTGCCCCCTTTGTTTAAAATTCCCCAGACTAGAGCACTGGCGCCGACGAATTAACGCGATCGCGATCTCGATCTTCGATCTGGACACCCCATCCATCTCCCCGAGAAAATTTCCATCTCTCCCCCCCACCGTTCCCTGAGGCCCCGTTGGGCCCCGTTGCGGCGTCGGCGGCGTGTCCCGCGCGCGCACACTTCCTGAATACACAACGCGCGCAGGAGAGCGTGTAATAACCCCAGGAAGATACAAATAAGACCGTCCCATTACACTGACGCAACGTGTTATACATTTTTCGACGGGGCATCGCCGGGCGACTCGCCGCGGACAATAGAAGTACACGCGGGGCCCGCACAATACCACAGAGATACTGCCGGGAGAGGCCAGATGATAAGTGTGGGTGACGAAGCAACATCGGCGGAAAAAAGCCCGTAGTTACACCGTAAGTATGTATCTCCTTGATGAGAACAAGGAGAAGGATGCAGCGGGCCGCCCTCCTATCCTTGTGCAAGCAACGAAAGACGAAGGTGGAACGGGAGAGAAGAGGAAATACGCTGAAACGTCGTGGGACACCGCCGGCGCGTTCGCAGATCACTCTACAGGGCCCCTCAAAAGTCAAGGTGCCATTTTCCATCGACCTCCAACGCGTTACAACCGTTACAATAAAAAATGGTACTTTTCTTTCCCTGCAAACGATTCAACGACTGCTTCAAACAGAATACAATTACAGTTTTGTTTGGAAATTGATTTTCACAGAGGAATTGGGGAGCTATGTTATTTAGAAATGTAGTTTTTACGAAACTTCGTGGACCCACCGTGTGGATACTCCACAGAGCGGAAGAGACTATCGCGTCGACAATGGGTCAGTTTGGTAACTCTACGGTTGAGAATTTTTCGCGTTCCTCAAACGGGTGCCGACATTGATCGCGATAAAGTCGTGGAACGCGCAGACTTTGCGTCGTTTCTACTATCTCTCGTTACGAGTGAAGTAAAATAGAGAAACAAATATGAAGGACTTGACGAAATTGAATAAAATTGAAAAAAAAGATAATCCTGACTAGGTGACGGCCGTAATCGATACAGTTTGCGTCGGTCGAAGTCAACGGAGGCAAACACGCGTCTCGTCGACCGTTCTCAAGCGTTCATCGAATTAGCGTCTAAGATAAGTTAATAAACCTCATCGAATGATTCATCGCTGCTCGTCGCTACTTATCTAATCGTTCCACTTTGCGACAGTTTGCTCTTCCTTCACCCTGATGCATGTAATTAATATGTAATCGTTTTTTGTGCCCTGGAACCGATACTCGTCCGACGGCGACGTTTACGGTCCGTAATTGCGGCTTATCGCGACCGGCAAACGTTATCATTAAGCATCGGCGAGTAATTGCCCTTCCCGTCTACCGTGCGAGCGCTCGACCGATGTCTAACTGGACTTTTGCCCGAGCAGTTTGCTCGATCAAGAATCAGCGATGTTGGCGCGATGTTGTACACCTTGTCCCGAGCGTTTCCAGAGCGCGAGAACAGCGCTTCTTCCGTCCGGATCGATATTTATCGATCATTCCAATCGTTTTCTACGTTTCAGTGTTTCCTGACTCAAAGATCGCGACCTAAAAATTGATCGTTAACGCGTCGATTGCTAAGCACGAATCGAATATGGTTCGCCAAGGATCGTGGAGCTAGCCTCCGAGCTGTAACAATTTGTCTCGACTGCGTTACGTTTCTATCGATTATTTATTTATCTGTTCTCGGTTCATAGTATTGTTTCAATTTTTGAACGATCGTAAATGTCCAAAAAGTATTGTGATTTTACTGGAACGGAAGCATTTCTCATCGTTGACAGCAATCGTTGCGCTTTCCCACATTTATAATGCACTTGATCAGGGTCGAATCCCCGCCGGTGTCCAAGGTTTTTTCTTTATTTTACATAACTATCAACAGAATATCCTTGTCGGCGTAATAAACAAAATGCAACCGATAATTATCACTCTTAAACAAGCTATTTTAATACCGACGGAATATAGGCATCGTACAACCTATAAACGTTCAAATTATAATGCGTTACAAGGATAAAATTAAAATTAATTACGGGTATTAAGCCATAACTATCGCATAATAGCATCGCTATAACTATAGAATTGAAATAAATTTTATGAGCTACGATTATAAATTGCCGGTTAGTTATGTATCCTGTGAATACAAAATTGTAATTCGCTACATAATTATTACTGCGTAGTTAAAAGAATAATCGGTCCAAGAGCAGTTCGGATTTTTGGATTTAGAGGTCTTTGAATGACAGACATTTTTGTAATTAACTACATGCTCTGGGCTAATGTTTCCCAAGAGTTACCTAGCAGAACGTAATAACGAAGAAAGACAATATACAAAGAGAACAAGGTGAAACGAATGATAGATGGTAGCTTAACAAGCACGGTTGGAGCTTCGCAATCATGGATCCTAGGACTCCAGAAGTCCCGTCGAGCCTCGGACATCTTTTCCCCGGCAAACCGTTCAAATTTACACGAGAAACAAGATTTTCTAATTACCCACCGGTGCGTTAAGTATGTTTAACACGGGTAATCTTTCAGCTTAGATAGATAGTTCGTTAACAAATGGTCTGGAAAAAGGATTTCTCAAAGGCTTCGAGTCGCAACAGCGAGCATTTACATAAGTAAACACACCTGCTCCCCTCGAACATAGTCTACGATCGAACGAGACACCCTGTACAAACGAGTAGCGTAGAGTGAGACGAACGTTGGATGATAAGTCAGCAGTCACGGTTCGTAATCGTGAATCCTGGGATCCCCCAGTCCTTTTCCTTCGCGGTTCGTAACAAACGTGTAGAAAAAGCAAGATTTCCTAATAGTTTGGGTCCCGTTATACCCGTCGGACCCCATCAATCCGACAGAGTTCACGCCCGTATGATTCCGTAACACGGAAGAGGATCCGTGGTCGCGGTTAGGGTAGATAAATCGTACACACGTACCTGTATGAGGTGGGCAAGGAACAGGACGTAGGCGGTGGCCGCCCTCATGTCTTTCCTCGAGGAATCCCTCGACTACCGCATCACCATTCCCCGTGGGTCACCCAGCGCTCTTCCCTTCGTCCACTCCAAATTATCAATCGACCGTGTGTCGTCGTCGGTGTCCCAGGATCCCTCCTGTTCCGTATATTCCTTGGATCGCAGCAACACTCTTCACCCACCGTACACGATCGACCGGCCAGATCCGTTGGTCGATCGGGCACACTTCACTTCTACTTCCGGTCCGCGCACACACCGTATACGATCCACAACCGGCGTCACCGGGTCTCACGGTTCTCCACTTTGTACAACTTCGACGGTTGGCGAACGAGCGACGCACTTAGCTCGATTCCAGCGAATCTCCAGACTGGCACTGTACACTGTTTAACACTGTGGGGGTTCCTGGCGCGCACTCCGACCCGGAATCGTCTACGACCGAGCCTCCGACGGAGACCCCGAGCGAGTCGCTTGGACGAGGACGCGTTCGAGGATGTTTACGCGACAGGTACCTTTCCCTCGTGCGATATCCTCCTCGTTCACCACCTTTCTCTTCGATGTCCCGTCTCAAGGCGATCGATCGTCGTTCGTGTAACGTGGATCGAACATGAGCGGTTCTCCAGCCGATTAACACGTGGTCGAGAGTAACGCGTTCGCTTCGCGACACCTGTTCTCTTTCGCGCGGACAGTTCACGGGAGCACGTGTTCCCGACGCGGCGACAATCACCGCGAAGCCTGCGACCTTTTAAACAACTCTGGACAGTTCACTGGACGCTGGTAGCCGGGCTCCACGTACGGAATATTAAGATCCGCCGGTGGGCAGGCCCTTCGCACGTGCACGAGGGACACCTCGGAACGCGGACTCTCTCCACGGGCGTTCAGTTCCTCGTACGGTAATCCATCTGTCACTGATCCGTCCCGAGCGTTTCACCTCAAAATTCCACCCTCCGTCGGGGGTGGGGATCGACGATCCACCCCTGGTACGCGCGTAACGAAACGAATCGCGGACAAACACGCCGTCGTCGAACTGTCGCGGTTGTTCTCGTTCCAACGATCGAGCGTGTGTCTCCTCGGGGGAACAGGTGTGTGGACCGAGCCACACGTACGCGCACCTATCCGTCGACGGGTTACTGTGTGCGTGTACGATCGCGTAAACACCGTGGGTGTACACCGGTATACGTGTCAACGGGCGCGTGTGTATGTGTGTGTGTGTCGTGCACGCTGGAGCACGGAAACGCAGCACCTCCGCGGGGTACACGAGTCGGTCGCTCCGGGGATACTGAGTCGGAGCCGCAGGCCGGCCTGCGGGCCTCCCCCTCCCCTTCGTCGAACTCTCGATCGCCGTCTCCCCCTACCATCTCGCTTCTTCGCTCTCGCGCCTCTGTTCTACCTTTCTCCTTCTCTCTCCGACCAGCCCCTACTCACGAAAGATCTCCCTCCTCCCTCGCCGCGTTACCGGGAGCATCGACGACTCCCACCACCGCGGGGAACGCTCTTCGCCCCGACCCCATGGATCCGCCGCCGCTCTCTTGCATCGGTTGCCTCTTTATACACGTTGCTTGGCCTCTCTTGTGTGTCCAGCGTGCCTCTTGCTCGCGATCGCAGCGATGTGTTGGGCGCGTGTATGCACGGCCACTGCGAGAGTGTTGGCGCGATGCTAGGATTGTGTAAGGGGAATTGCTGGCGGATGGTGATGTTATATATCGGTTTATTTTATATATATATATATCCTTTTGTAACGTAATCGTGATCGTACACACGTTCGAATAGTATTTCGTTAACTTGTAAGCACCTTGTCGCGCAAACTTCTCAGCACGATTACGTTTTCTCGTAATGTCCTCTTGCTCTAAATATTGCGGAACAGGTTTTTAAAATATACATAAAGGGGCTGTTTTAATTTTGGAAACCTGCTCTGTCGTATGTAGAGCTACAGGACTTTATTGGCAGGTTCGCTCGATTGGAGCACCCTCTTTGGCGACTAATTATATCTGCTGTTTGATAGTCGAAACTGCAAGATGAGACGATCTTGAAGTGACCTATGCTTTTGAAAATTAAAAGTGAACGTGATATTTATTTCCAATAGGATCACACGCTTTAGCAGCGGCGATCGAGGACCTGCGAGTGTAGGTAAACACGTTTACGATCCCACAAGTATCTCTGGAAGACCTGATCGCTTTCAAGCAATTTGTGACAGCGGTCAGGTCTCTTGGAACATGTTTATGTACTCGTTGCTGAGGTCTGTAATCTTGATGAAAATAAATTTCACGCTTAATTTCAATTTTGGGAGTGGTGTTCCAGTTAGGTACAATACCCGTGATTACGATGCACAATAGCTATTTTGATTAGGCCTCTCACTTTTGTCCTCCACCGGATTAACATTGCAGGAATTTCACAAAACAACCACTTTTGTCCCAAATACAAGCTCGAAGACGCCTCGTCCAAGAGTTTCTCAATCTTTCAAATATTCCACGTATTCGGATTCGTTGGCAGCCTAGTTGCATACGTCCACGAAGTATTTCAACACCGACAATGGGTGTTGAATAAACAAATGCTTTTAAACTGTTCGACGAATAAAAATCTGGGGTACGAGCGGACTGAGCAACAGGTCTTGCACGACCTATCCGTCTGTTAGAAAATCATTCGTTTAAGAACTGTCCGGCTACTCGTTCTGAAATGGAACGGTGCACCGTTCATGCATAAATCACATGCGACGTATAATACTTAATGGAACTTCTTCCACTAATTCGTACAATTTACGACTCAAGAAATTCGCAGAAGATTGACCTGTTAAGCCACCGTTAAAAGAGCAAGGAGTTATCGAGCATTCTATACGGACAGTTTAGTATTAGATTGATGGATAATTATCTGTCGGAAAATTCCTCGAGCGAAACAAATTATTTTCAGACTGATTATAAAACAAATTATATAGCCAATTGATCATTCAGGATAATCATTACACGCTTGGATGGTCGTTGCCTATTTTTCTGCGGGTCGGTCGATTTTTTCAGGCAAAGAAATTTCCTCTCTCGGAAGTTATAATGTCCCATCAAATTTCTAAGCACCACAAATCGTCCGAAGGATCTATTGTAACTCACAGAATTACTTTAAAAAATATTCAATTCAGCAATTAAAATCACTTTTGTATAAAATGCGGAAAAGAAGTGGTCAGCCCACGGATATAGGGTTTTACCATTGTTTTGCGTCGATCGATCGACGGTCGAGTCCCACGTGACGGCGTGCACTCTGCATATTAATAAGTTAATCCTAATAGTAAATTTATTTATTAGGTTTTCTATGTCCAGCAAGGTTCTTACCATCGGGGATCGGTATTAGTGTGCCGTTCGTGCGTTCACGGACGTGACGCGCATGTTGGTGCAACGCCACGATTGTGTAAGGGGAATTGGCCAGCTAGCGGTGTGTGTCGAGAGAAGACTCCGGTGTTCCCGTCTCCGTTCGACTCTCTCTGTTCGCTGGTTCGCCTTTCTAGAAGGCATTACACGACGGTACACTTGTGCCCAGGTCGGTGGATGCTGGGGCCTTGGTGGATCCGTCCGCGACGGTGCGCGCGTGTACATCTTACGATCGGTTTCATCGCGAGCGTCCGCGGTTGTGTATTCTCACCTCGCCGTGGAAGCGAGCACCATCGAGCTGTTTGCACGACCCAACATCCGCCGTTCCTCCAGCCATCGATCGGACTTAGCCAAAATCGATTACGTTCTCGATTACCCTAACGGTTCGAGACCTTCTCCATACTTTCACGTCCAATTTTTTCACTACCGTTTCTCGATGCTATCGGCGTTCGCGATAAATTTAGCTTAGGTCAATTCGCTGGTTATAATTTGTGAAAAAGACATCGCGTTTACACCGAGAATGGTTAAACGTTCCATAATATTTCCATCCAGCGTTTCAAGAAATTTTTCAAACATTCTCTTTCTTGGCAGTCGGGTTCATGTTCGTAATCTTCGGATCAAGGAGGTATAAGACTCGAGCTTAGGTGCTCTTGAGACGCCACGGCGCGGAACAGACACTCGCTGTCAGATTGTCGTACGCTAAGTATCGAACGCAAAACAGTCGTGTGTTCTCGGATTGGACTCGAGGAAGCAGAAGGGACTCGTAGTTGTTATTCACCGTGAAATAATGCGTAACAGAGAAAGTAGATGTCCGAACATCTGGCACTTTGGAGGCATTGTTGCGGCGATCCCAATGGACCCTGTTGTTTGGACCCTTGCTCCTGCTGGCGCCAAACCGTGCCCTGGGGTCGGATTTAGGGTACCGGACCCGGGGAAAAATAGTAGTATGCTAAGTCCGTTCGTTTATTTAGCATACTATTGCGATGGAAAATATATACTTAAACTAATAAAACACTGTGGTTGATGAGATGTCGAATTGTCACATCCACTGTGTCCGCTGGTACCTCAAAAGTGAGGAAAGGCAAGGGTTCCCAGGGATCGTGGAAATGGTATTCGCGAGGACATTGAGATGGACCGTCGCGAGGTGGACGGTGTCCAATTTTCGTCCCCCGTGAAATTGTGGCGGTGAATTAACGTTATTAAATGTACGGTTAGGTGGACGATAATGATACGTGAGAGGGGATCCTCCGCGGGAGTAAACAGTCGGCGCCCGTGGGAGAAGAGGTTCCCGGTAGAGGAGGCCTCCGATCGATGGTGGACGAAATTATGTATATTCCGAAAGAATGATTTCGGCCGATGAATAATGGATAAGTCCTGTCGCGTGTCCACCGTCATTACGCCGGGGCTATCGGGACACGGTAATCTGCCCTTGCGAGAAATGCCATCGGCGCGGATCGTCATTGAATTCCTGCCCCCGTATACGACGTTCCACGTAATTCGCGTGTCGAGTTATCGCGCAAACTGAAGGGACGGCCGGTTAAACGGCAATAAATTATCGCCATCGACAGCCGGGGCCCGTCTTTCGCAGGGCTGCTTTCTAGTCGCGTCTCGTCGTACCGTGCATCATTCTGCGAAACGGTGTGCTCGAGAATCGGTAAACAATTCCGGGTACTTTCCACGGCTGCGTAT